CTCCCCTCTCTCTCTCCCCCCCCCTCTCTCTCCCTCTCTCCCTCTCTCTCTCTCTAAATCTTCTCTCCCTTGCTGCTGCCCACTTTGTCCTGAATTTGGCCAGATGTAAGATTCAAATACCCTAACACAACCCAGTAAAGTTTGCATCATTTGTCTTGGGATTTGCGAATGCCCTTCATATGTTTATCTTCTGTTTCCCTTCTTTTTGCTTGTTTCCAGTGCTTGCTTAGACTCTGGGCAATGATGAACATGCCTAAACTGTTCTGGAACTAGCGAGATTACCAAATGAGGGAGTGGAGTTAGACTTTATACAGGAATTGGCACGTACCAGCTCATAGCAGAAACAGCACCGGACTTGAAGTCGAGAATCCTAGCTCTGGTCCAACTGCATGGCCTCGGTCCTTGAGCCTTGAATTCCTCCTTCACTGAATGGAGAAAAAATGTGCTGTTAGTGAATAAGATGTGGGGACTTGGGCTCGGAGCAGAACATGGAAACCTCTCTGGAAGATCAAGGAGTATTTTACCAGAACTGAGCCTGGAATTCATCCTCCAAACTGAAATCGTCTTTATATTTTAGAATTAGATTAGGAACTCTTGTAAAAACTGCAGGGCAAGAGGGGTTAACTGGGAGTGTCCCGAGCAAACCAGAGCAAGTGACTAGTTCAGTTCTAACTTGACTAATATATAGCTTTGCCTCGTCTGGAAAATGATTTAAGACTACTTAATCTTCACAGCTGAGATGGTGACTGAAACTGGGAACCACAGCTACCGCTATCTGCCCCGCCCCCATCACCGCCACCTATGAAAGCGGAAGAAGCAATCTAATCCTGAGGTTGCCATCCCAGAGCCCTATGTCGGTATCCTCTACAGGACAGGTAGGCACTCTGCTTCTATCTAAATAATAAAAGCAAGATCTCCCTGGGCATGGTGCTGCACACCTTTGATCCCAGCATTTGGGAGGCAGAGGCAGGTGATCTCGGTCTGTTCAAGGCCAGCCTGGTCTACAAATCGAGTTGCAGGACAGCCAGGGCTGTTATACACAGAAACCCTGTCCCAAAACAAAACAAAAACAAAACAAGGTCTCATTCTGCTGCCTAGGCTAATATTAAACTCATTTATTCAAGCAAGTCTTGTAATAAGCCTGCCTTGCAAGATGAATATAATCTAAAGAAATGCTTATGCCCCTCTCTTTGGATACCACACTACTGAAACAATAAACTCCAGGAAACTAAGATTTGCAGGAAAAAAAGGTTGATGCCCTTAGTGGGGGATCAAAAGGACCAAGAGAAAAGTTCCAGAAACCGTCAGCCTTGCAAGAGAGATTTGAAGCTGTGGGTGATGGGCGGGGGACCACACTTTGATAGATTGCTTATTTTATTTATTTATTTATTTATTTATTTATTTATTTATTTATTTATTTATTTTTGATTTTTCGAGACAGGGTTTCTCCGCAGCTTTTGGTTCCTGTCCTGGAACTAGCTCTTGTAGACCAGGCTGGCCTCTAACTCACAGAGATCCACCTGCCTCTGCCTCCTGAGTGCTGGGATTAAAGGCGTGTGCCACCACCGCCTGGCGATTGCTTATTTTTTATGTATACCTTTAGCTTCACATTAGGAGCCTAAAGATGGACTTATAAGTAGCTGGATTTCTCTGTCCCTCTTTCCTAAGTGGCTACATTAAATAAATCTCCTTTCTCTGATTTCTTTCCCCACTATTATTAACTTGACTCCTTTAAGTGGTTTGAGTAAAAATATCCAAACTTGGTTTGTTGGGGGAAGAGGCTGTGACCCTAAGTCTGGCAGCAATCTTAGTATGTTTCCCAAACCGATCTGAAACTCACCCACTCAAGCAATCATCCCCCATCAGCTTCCTGAGAAACTGAGGGCTACCTGCATGCCCCAAACCAACTCTACTGGCACCTTGGTATTGATTTCAGAGACTGTTTCCTCTACACCCTCCCTATGAAAGTATAGATTCTTATCCATTGAAGTCTAAATATTCTGCATGACTTAGGAAACTGCAATTGGTTCCAAAGAGTGAAGCCTAATGTTTCTGTTTTGAAAAAGTTAGTAGGGTGGAACATTACGATCATGTTTTGAAATAACGTTGTTATTAAAGAAGGACCAAGCAAAAGAGAGATCACTTAGGTCGAATGCACACTAGTACACTTGAAAGGCAAAATAGATGGTCAAATAGGTAACTGACTCTGGAAATGTAGCAAGAAAGAATAATGTAGGCATAGCTGATCAAAAAAGCTGCACTGAGAATGCCTCATGATTCAGAAATCCCACCAAGCAGGGACCTGAAGAGACATTTGTGCACGTGGTTCCCAGGGGCATCGTTCACAAGGACATCAGGTGAACACAGCTCAAATGTCCACCGATGAACAAAGAGATAGCTAAAATATGATATATACCATAGAGTGGAATATTAGTCAACATTAAAACAAAAATTTTGACTCAAGTTACAACATGAATAAATCTTAATAATTTTATGCAAATGAAATAAATCAAACATTGTATGGTTTCACTTGCTAGAGCAGCCCAGCAAAATCAAGTTCATAAAGATGAGAAGCGTAATAGTGGTTTCCAAGGTTTGGAATTGGGGAGGATTGGAGGAATTGGGGTTTAGTGGGATGATTTTAATTTGGGTGGATGAGAGTGTATCAGGCTTTCTTTCTTTGTCCAAATCATGACGTGGAGACTTAATATTAGTTATCAGTGTTCAGCCTTATTGTGTGTTTATCTCGCTAGGTCTTTTAACTTAAATTATTCTGTTTCTTTTCAGCTACATTTTGCCTTGGGGCCTTTTAGCTTTCTTTCTTTCTGTATGTTCTATTCCATGTCTGCCTGGCAGCTGCCTGGCTTCTGGGCTGCAGGCAGGTCACACTCGTTCTCCCTTGTCCTCCTTTCCTTCCTTTCCTCTCTCTCAAGCCTAAATTCCTCTTCCTATTTATTCTGCCTGCCAGCCCCACCTATCCCTCTCCTGCCTAGCTATTGGCCATTTAGCCTTTTATTAGACCAATCAGGTGCCATAGGCAGGCAAGGTGAAACAAATACAACACATCTTTATATAATTAAACACACGTCCTTACATATGAAACAAACGCAGCATAAACAAATGCGACACATCTTTACACAGTTAAAGTACTTTCCACACGCGAGAGTCCTGTGGGTAGACAGCAGCGGTGTTCGTCTAGTGATATAAATACTAATACCTCCGAGCTCTGTTTTCAAAATGATAAAAATTGTAACCATTATGGGGAAGTCTATTTTTTTAGTTATATAATTACTTAGTGAGTTATTTTCAGGATGGGGTCTCGTGTACCTCAGATTGGCTTTGAGGTTTCTGTCTAGCCAAGAGCATCTGGTACCTTCCCGGGGGCTGGATTCGAGGTGTGCATCACCACTCTTGGTTTATGCAGTGTTGGGAATCGAACTGAGGGCTCTTTGCAAGTTAGTTAAGCACTCTACCAACTAAACCACATCTCTAACCAGCTCCCCAGTCTCCCAATCAATAATCTTAATAGGGGAAAATATCCCAGAGAAAACCATTCTGGGAGTGTACAGTAGTCGGCCAATCAACCAGCAGTGTAGCCAGGTAGAGTGCCACCCATCTGCAAACACCATAAAAGAGAGTAGGAGGCAGGAAGAGTGGGGAGTTGGAGAGCACCCTGGGCTATGCTGGGAGATTCTATCTCAAAATTGAACAAAGCAAACATCAGCAGAAGGCTCCATAGGAATATAGATCCACAGTTCAGTTAACTTGGGTCTTTCTCCCCACCAAGACACGTGAGCTGTGTTCCTTAGCACCGGCCTTGGCCTCTCTGCAGTTCTGGCTCATAATGACAGAGAAAACAAGTAAAACAGTTTGAGTTTATGGAACACTGTGACAGATTTTTTGGGGAGATAAGAGATTTATTGGGAGAGTAATTAACACTATAAACAGAAAGACAGACAGACGTGATGGGGACTCTGAGGAAAGCTCAGGGCCACATGGCCAACTGGAGCGGTGGTGCCCCTTCTTATAGGTCTCAGAGGAAGGAGAGAGGGTCTATGCTGTGTGAATGATGGGTCCTGAATAGAGTTCTGGCAGTCAAGCTGTCTCTGATAGGAAGGAGGAGACTGTGTTAACCTGGGACCTGTTCGAAAAGTCAGCTATGAGGCTGGGGAGAGATCCAGCTTCAGATGACCTGGGCAGCAGCCTGAGCTGGCTTGGGATCTAACGATGAACATCAAAGAAAATGCTAAGAGGGCAAAGGAAAGCTGGTTTAGTGCCTTGCAAGCCTCTTAGTGTTTTCTAGCTAAACATTACCAGTCATGCAAATGTGAACTTGGGGCTCTCCGGTTTAATCTCTGGAGACAGAGTTTACAGCCCTTATCAGATTTTGGAAGTTTCTTCGAAGTCCTGTGTTCCATCTGAAATATTTATGTCAGTTTTCCTCTCTAGTCCCTCATATATTTCTCTTTATCCCATTTTTAAACATGTAATAGGTCTGACTAATGTCTAAGTGCTTATGCTGGACAGCAGAGATCAAGAGGAAAGCAGGAGACGGGGCACCTGACCTCTCAGGGATGGAGAGAGGCGATGGAAGACACAAACACTGATACTGGCGGTACCTAACAGCGTGCAAACGTAGGGCATCCAGACCTAGGCTCTCTTTTTACTCCCAGTTTGACAGACATGGAGCTCTGGGTATGTGTAGTTGAGGGGAGCTCCAGGCGACTCCTCTAGTTCTTCTGTCCTCCATGACCTCAACAATGAGTCAGAGGGCTGCACCCCCTTGCAGTCTCCCGGGCAGAGGGCACCCCGCAGGCCTTATTGCTCCCTAATCCCATGTTGGCACTCTGTCCAATTCTTGCTCATTTTCCTCCTCTCCAATCTACTCCCACATGGAGAAAGGCGGCTCCTACATACATAAATTATTCCTGACACCCGGGGACCTTTACCCTCCTCGGAGAACTCGCTTTCATTTCTAGATACTTCGAGACTGGGCATACCCGGCTTTCAGCTTTCAGCTTGACCCCGGATGATCCATGCCAACCTCAGATTTGTTATGGTTTGAAATCTGGGTTCCACTCTGTTCTCGTTTTAATAATTAACATTTATGAAATACTCCAAATATGTCACGCACAATTAGGTGCATCGGTTCACTTAACCCTGGGGAACTTTACCAGGCGGTTCAGCAGCTCAGTAACTGTTAAAGGCAGGGCTCGGGAGTCCCGTTTGTCTATGCCGCTTCAGACGAGTGATGACCCCCACTGAGCCTCCATTTTTCTGGAGCATAAAATGGAAGAAGAACAGTATCTAGCTGCTAAGATCAGAGGATTCATGGCGAACACCAGATCCAAGTGCTCTTTTTCCTTTAAAGTGTGCATTTTGTCTCCGGCTCCTGGATGAGAAAAGAGAAGTTTAGAGACGTCAAACAGCATGCTTAAAGTCACACTGAGAGGGACGGGCAGAGGTAGGACTGGCATTCAAGACCCTAGGTACCTCAGTGGGTGGTCTGGACAATCTGCCCTGCTAGTCGGGCAAAGCGTTTAATTAACAGGATTGCTGCCTTCTGAGAGCACCTCATTAGAGCAGGTTATTTTTTTTTTTTAACCTGACTTTCTGGCTTAAGTCTGAGACCACTTAACTAGCAATACCCTTTGCCAGCTTCTGCTACGATAGTGGCTCTAATGTGGTTTGCACCAAAGCTGTGGTATCTTTCGAAAGTCTCTATCTTCTTGGAGTAGAACGCGATGAAAAGGGGAAAAAGGGAATTCTATAGTAATATTAACAGAACAGATAATATCTAAATAACAGTTACAACAGTTTCTTGACTTTGTTTATTTGCTATATTGCCAGCAACATATATATGAATCACCAAGAGATACCCCCGGGAAATGTACTCTCTTTAGCCTATAAACGAACCAATTCTCCACACCATATGAAATCCACTATTTGATAGTGTGGTTTCAACTACTGCCTTCATGTTATACTAATGTCAAAATTTTTCCCTAATGCTTTTACGTATTTGTAGCATTATATACTATAATGATTTTCATTAAACATGGCAAGATGTCCATCATACTGAAAAAGGGCACTGGGCATCCTCATGTAAGCATGACCCAGAACAAGAAACAGATAATTCTCAAAGGGTCCACCCCAAGTTCCCCTCCCATCACTACACCCTCCAAAGACAACTACTTTCCAGGCTTTTAAGCTATACCTTAGCCCTGCTTTGTTTAAGCCTCAAGTGTTTCTATGGTTCCCATTTGCTATGCTTTGAGCGTGTCCTCAAAAGTCCATGCTGGAAGTGCAATCTGCAGTGTTGCAGTGTTGCAGGATGGGACCTTTAAGAAATGATCGGGTCTGGAGAGCACTGCCCTCTTGAGTGGGTTAACGCCATTATCCCGGAGTGGCTTAGTCACTAGGAGAATGGGTTCCTGAGAAGGGTGAATTCGCTGCCCTCTACCCTGTGATGCAGGTGCCCTCTTGCCCTTTGCCTTCTGTCATGGGGTGAGGCAGCAAGTAATCCCTCCCTCTGACCTGGACTTCCTAGTCTCCAGAACTGTAAAACAAAATCTAGTCTTCAAAAAGATAGCCAGTCTTGAGACTTCTGTTATGGGAGTATAAGATGGGTTGGGAGAGCATGCTTCTGCGTGACTACTTCCTCTAATACCTATGAGATCCATCTGTGCAACACTGGTTCCGGTTGATTTAGCCCATTTGCTGTATGAGGCTACATTCTAAGCAGATTTGTGCATCATCATCATCATCATCAACATTGACTAGTATGAAGGACACTGCCATGTTTATGACCATAGATCTCATGCCCACTTAGCACATTTCCATTGCAAAACCTTGGAAAGACTGGGCCTGAGTTTGAAAAACTGTCATCACGTTCTCTGCTCAGACTGAACTCTAAAACTCACGCATTTATTCACAAACGTATGCCAAGCACCATGTCAGACATGAAGACTAGAGGCCCAAAGCGTTTCACAGCCCAGTTCGAAGGGCAGAAAGATAAATACATAATGACATCATATTGGCAATGTTTGAGATAACTATGGGTTTGCTAAAATTACTGAAATGCTATAATCTTTTAAACATTCCATTTTAACAAAAAGTGTGAGCCTGCACAGGGGACCGATCATCTGGAGTTCCCAGAGGTGCTTTTATGTAGCATTTAACCAGAATAAAGAGAGTCACGCTTTTCAAAGAGTCTCAGTGTTCAGTCAGTTGAGAAGATCCCAATAGGCATCAAAGAAATGCCAATGCTGTTTCCCAGAGGCTCTCCTTCCTCTGGCTCTCCTTAAATGCCCTCAGCTCTTTTGATTTTTTTTTTATTATTGTCTCTCAGTCAGCTCTCTGTCCTGTAGACTCTAACCATCTCATGTATCAGCCCCAACTCCTACATCTTTAATTCTATGGAGACCCCCCTAAGTCTATATGTAAACATCTATCAAATACTTCCTCTAGCACAGCCAATCAACAGATTGATAATGGTGCAAAGCCAGGCCTTCCATTCCCCTTCCAATCACCAGACTGGGAGACATTTTAAACCTTTCTTCTTCCTCCTCTATATCCAGATCTTTCCAGCTTGGCGCTTATTTTTCATACTGCTCTGTCTTTTAAACGGTGACTTAAAATACGGATCTGATCATCCTGCTTCTTAGCTTAAGGACTGTGCTGGTTAGCTATATTTCAACCTGACACAAGCTATGGCTACCTGAGAGGAGGGAGCCTCATTGAGAAACCGTCTCCGTAAGATCTGTCTGTGGGAAGCCTCTAAGGTACTTTCTTTTTTTTTTAAGATTTATTTATTTATTTATTATATATACTGTATTCTGCACCAGATCTCATTACAGATGGCCGTGAGCCACCATGTGGTTGCTGGAAATTGAACCCAGGACCTTCGGAAGAACAGGCAGTGCTCCTAACCTCTGAGCCATCTCTCCAGCCCCTAAGGTACTTTCTTAATTAGTGATTGTTGTAGGAGGACCCCATCTACTGTGGGAGATGCCATCCCTGAGCTGGTGGTCCTGTGCTGTATTACCCGCCTACAGGGGCGTGGTGTCTTTTATTATATATGCTGATGCAGAGCCTGCGTCCGCCCCTTCTTCTTCCCCGGCTGCTCTTTCAGATTGCTGGATTGCTGGATTCTATCTCTGTTCTCCGTTCAAGCAGAGAATTCTGACTTGTGAATTTACCCCTAAATAAATAAGCATCTATTTCTCAATTCTGAGCTAGTGTGGGATTTCTTTTAAGAGTTCATTCCACAGTCCTGGGTTCTATAAGAAAGCAGCCTGGGCAAGCCATGAGGAACAAGCTGGTAAGCAGCTCCCCTCCATGGCCTCAGCATCAGCTCCTGCCTCCAGGTTCCTGCACCGTCTGGACTTCCTTCAGTGATGGACTACACTGTGGAAATGTAAGCGGCATAAACCCTTTCCTCCCCGAGCTGCTTTTGGTCGTGGTGTCTCATCACAGCCCTAGTAACCCTAACAAGTGCCATCCATGCGCCCCATTACATACTAGTCTTTCCCCCAAAGCCTTCCCTAACTGCGGTTATGAACTAAGATGTGCCCAGCTGGCAAGGTGTGCTGCAGGCTGGCCTACTGCATATGCATTCATTTTCCAGGTATAGAGTGAACAGAAACTTAGAAAAGAACTGCTAACAAGATTTTGTCCACGATCCAGATCCTTGCCAACCCTTCCGGTCTCATCACCAGTATCCTGGCATCAAGTGACTGTCACTGGCCCTGCACACCAACCAAGCTGCAGCAAGCCTTTGTCCTCGCACAGAGGCCAAGCTCTTCAACAGACCTGAAGTGAACTCCTTTTCTCTACCTGGCAAATTTTTACACATCTTTTGAATTTTTTAAATTCAAGTTTAGCCTTCTTGGGTGGATTTGTCTGAGGTTTTAGGGGTGGAATTGGCCAATCCAGCCACGGTGACTCACAATGCAACTCCATTCTGTACTTTCCCCTCCATCACGAGTCTCCTCTGTAGCTAACACGTAATCTCGCCTATTATGTGTTCCCACTGGAACTCGTGATCTCCTCCATTATATGCTTTCGCTGTAACTTATAATCTACTTCTATTATGTTACCGCCACACACTAGAGCATCTTTTGATTTGCATGTTTACTTCCTGTGCTTGCTTATAAGTGGTTTGAGGCTTTTGCTCTCCGTTTTCCCACTGTCTGGCGCAAAGGAGGTATAAGGAAAGGCTAGGTGAACCAAGTCCAATAAAAGAGTTTACAGCGAGGATGGCTAGGTTGTGCTGCCGTGACAAATGGCAGCGCAGAAGTTTGTGTCTCCATCAGACTAGTGTCAGCTTGGCTTATGGATGTTGTTTATCAATTTCTGTGATTACTCTGGAGAACAGTATGTGCCTGCGCACACAGCCTCTTTATGTGTGATCTAGTACATATAACACAAGGAAAATCATTCTTAACAATATACAATTGTAATTTAGTGGAATTAATTGTATAATTTACAATTACGGAAAACAACCACCACTCTCTAGAGTCAGAAAAGCCCTTATGATCCGGGATGGAAATACCTTCTGTACTGCGCAGTCACGGCCCACCCCCTCCCCCTCCCTCCCTCCCCAGCACCTGGGAGCTAGCAATCCACTTTGCCTTCTCCAAGCCTTTCTTATGAATGGAATCACACGTTAATGTCCTTTTGTGTCTAACTTCCTCACTAGTGTAACTAGTGTCAACTTTCATTTATGTTGTAGCATATATTTGTACTTTATTCTTGTTTGTGACTAAATTATATCTCTTTTTCTATACATCATATTTAATTTACCAGTTAATAAGTTGAGAGATAATTGTCTTTCTGTACTTGGCTATTGTAGCTGAGCTGCTGGGAATATTGGAGTACAGACTCATTGCATGTTTATTTTCTCTTCCAGGTGTTTACCCAAGAGGAAAACTGCTGTGCCAGGCCGTGGTGCACGCCTTTAATCCCAGCACTTGGGAGGCAGAAGCAGGTAGATCCCTGTGAGCTCACAGCGTGGTCTACACCGTGAGTCCCAAGACAGCCAGGGCTATACAGAGAAATTCTGTCTCAAAAAGCCAAACCAAACGAAACAAACTAAAAGAGAAAAGAAAAAGAATTGCTGGCTTATGTAACAATTCTATTTTTTTTTTCTTGAGACAGTCTCAGTGTGCCCTGTCTTGCCTGGCACTCACAGTTGTCCACTTGTCTCTGCCTTGCCTTTCTCTTTTATTTATCTTTATATTGGTGCCGAGACTCAATAGGCTCTCCTGGTGTTTGGTCTGGCCACACTGGGATGCTACCCACCTGCTCCACACACAACAGATTCGCTCTCTCCCACCTGCAATAGATCTGCTTTCTTGTTCACCGATCCCTTTGCTTTCCATTCAATACCGGCACCTGGGTCTCTGGTGCTGCTGCCTCTGACCATTCCCCTGGGTGTGAAGCTTCCTTTACTGAGCACAGACCTCACCCTCTGGCTCTTTCGATGTTCTGGTACCAGGTGACTGTGTCTCAATCAGGTTCTTAGCCCTTGGCCCCTATTCTTGCCTGACACACTGAACAGCCTGTGCCTGCTTTGTTTGGTCCTCCTCCTGAGTACCAGGGTTGCCCGAGGCTCTCAGATTCTGGACTTCTCCCTGCCTCATCCTTGGAAACTGTGTTATGCACCCCCTCGCTCCCATTGGGATGTCTTTTGGAGAACCCCTGACAACTCCTTTCAAATCAAATCTGGCCTCAGTATACTGTGGACCAGGCAGTCGGGAAACCAAGAAAGAATCCTCTACTCACTTTTTCTTTGCTCCAAGACCTGCTTTTTTCTGCCTGCTCTCCCTCTCTCAACTTTGTAAATGTCCTACCTGTTGTAACGTGGGAATCAGAACCAGAGAGGCCGGCTACGCCTACTCAGCACACCCGTTCCCCCTGCAGTATTCACTGATCTGACCCTCGGTAAGGTGTGTGCAGATTATTTGTCTATGGGTGAATCTAATTCCGAATTTTAGAGTCTGATTTCTTCCTGCATTGCTTTCCATGTGGACACGTGCGCTTGTCTGGCTCCTGCAGCTGGCTGCACCCACAGAGGCATCGCATCTCCTGCTCGATTCCCTGCCCCTGCAGCCTGGGAGACCCACAGCTTCAGCTCTAGCCTGCTTTGTGCTCCCCGTGGCTCTGGCTCTTGCGGCCTGCTGACCCATGGGGACACCCCCATTCTCTTCTGCTCCTTCTTGGCTTTCTCTCACCTTTTAGCCAGGCTTCAGACCCACTGTGCTGGTTCTCAGTTTCTGCGTGCGCAAGTCCCTCTCGACTTCCCCTTGGAACTTATAGGAACATACCTCACAGTGTTTCTCTTTGTGAGCCTCTCTCTCTCTTCCTCCATGAACTCAGCAACTTATTGCAACAACCCGGCCTCGGTACAAATCAATGGCCAAAATTGGCAAACTTAATTTCCAAATTCTCACACATGGCTAATAGCTACTATTGCCACAAACAAACGATCCCCAAATATCTATACCTAAACTTGCTACACTTCCAAAGTCCCTCGTCTCTAAGGTTCTACTTCCCCACTCCTAGAAATCTTTTATCTCTATGATTTCTTTTCATTCTGCTCTCACAAAAAAAAAAATACTATTTTAAGATTATGCTGTAAACACTTATTTCAGGATTTGTAAATTGCTCATTGGGTATGGCTTGAAATCTGTATAATTTGTAACAAAATTTGGCTTCAAATTTATAACTAAAGACTTATAATCAAAATTCTATACATGGGTATATGTGTATATGTGTATATATGTGTGTGTACATGACTCAACTCCTGTTTAAGGTGTGTGTGTACATGTGTGACTTGGATTTAAAGCTATATATGTGTGAATGTAACCTGCATTTAACTCTGTGTGTAAGTGATGTAACTTGGATTCAACTCTTGTTTAGGAACGCATGTTGTAAACAGCAACCATGCAGCTCTCCTCCATCTTGGCTGCTGCCTTCATCAGTAGGTAGGCAGCCTCGAGGCTGGCAACCATCTTTACTGAGGTTAAAGAGTACATACCATGTGGCACTTTGTAGTCCTAACGAGCTCCTCGTTTGTTGAATCTCCTTATAGACTAGGGAAGCAACAAGTCTCAAAGATTTTTGGATTGGTATGGACTTTTGTGTGGTGATAAACATGTAAGGTTATATCTGTCACAACATACTGTAAATATGAATCAACTCTGGTTTAGAATGTACTATAAAATGATGATTAAAAAAATTAAGGTTGCAAAGGTCTATTCAGGTTAACAAAAGTCAATTTAGAGATTTACACCTAAGAATTTAAGTTATTTATTTATTTATTTATACAATATTCTGTCTGTGTGTATGTCTGCAGGCCAGAAGAGGACACCAGACCTCATTACAAATGGTTGTGAGCCACCATGTGGTTGCTGGGAATAGAACTCAGGACCTTTGGAAGAGCAGGCAATGCTCTTAACCTCTGAGCCATCTCTCCAGCCCCAGAATTTAAGTCTTTGCCAAGTGTTCAACACCAAGCTTCTAGAGAATTTAGAAAAGTGACAACATGTGTCTGATAAATAAGATTTATAGATTCCTAAGGTCGACCCAGGTTCACAGTAATGTTTGTCTAGCTTTGTCTTTACTTGATTTAAGCTTTAGCTATTTGGATAAGCTAAACCACACAAAACTGCAGTATTCTGTAATAGGATGTCTGGTTCCCCGAGAGGGTCCTTTCCCCAGGGAAGGGCACTTGGGTTGCTTTTCCTTGCTTTTTCAGGAAACAGCCTTAGCAGTTTGGAACACACTTGTTCTGTTTTCACCCACAGAATGGCTATTTTGGTTTCTTTATTGAGCCCATTATCTATGATTAAAAAGTTTTATTTTGATACCAGGAGACCTTCAATTCAAAATCATTACTTTTAAGGCTAAACCTAACAGAGATAGAACATAAAGTCCTAGTCTTATAAAAGCTACTATCTTATTGTAAATAGATGGGTAATTAAGAAATACAAGTTAATGGTCGGTCACCTGAAACAGGAATGGAGCATAAAGTCCTATGAAAGCAGCTAACTTACTGTAGACTGCTAAGGAACACAAGTTAACAATCATTCATCTTATAATGATCAAACTCTTCACTTGTAGTCATGCTAAGTACTAATATAATTAATTACACGGGTAAGCCTTACTTAGTCCCCTGGATATGTTTTTGAAGTTAGGCCTAAAATAAATAACTAGAAACAAGCAAAGTTTTTCTATTCAGATATACTTAATAGTTATACGGTTCTCGAATGCTTCAGGGATCTGCAGAATATGGCATTTAAAGTGGTTGGTTAGAAAAACAGAAGCTTTTCACGATAGAGAGACATGCCAGCTGCCGGCAGTGTCTTTATCTCCTCCAAAGAAGACAGATGCATACAGAAGAACCTCCACCTGGAGCTTGCTTTAACTGTGGCAAAGTCAACCACAGTGGAAAAACTGCTTTTCACCTCAGCTGCTGCCAAGACCCTGCCTAGGCTGTGGACACGCAGGACACTGGGGAATTTACTGCTCTACTTTGCCTAAACAAGGTAGGCTGGTGCCCCAACCCCAAGTTCCTACTCAGTGGGAAAGTCTGTTGAATGTTCTGGATCTGCCCCCAATGACCACAGAGGAACCTAGGGGTAGCTGTCAACCTGGGGTAGCTGTCTAGGTAGCCAGTAAGTCTGTCATTCTTAATAGATTTAGAAGCTGTTTGGTTCACACTTCTGCTTTCTCAGGTGAAATGTATTCATCTCAGATCTGAAGGTGTTTGAAGACCAGGCTGCTGAGAGCTTCGTGTGTTTAGTAGTAGCAGCCAAGGCTTCAGCTGCCTTCTCGGCTCTCAACTCTGTGTAAAATTCACGCCACAGTCCTCACTCCCCTAGAGCTACCGCGTAGTATCTAGATACATTTACCTTGTTACCAGACTCCAGAAAAGAGATTTCAATGTAACATTTTAGTGTTACTTTACTTAAAGGCGTTTCACTCTACAATGGCTTCCCTCAGTAACCAACCACCTACGTCTCCTAGGTAATTGATTGCATAGGAAAAAGGTGTAAAGTTTGTGTGAAGATACGAAAACTTAAGCTGTGAAAATCTAAGAAAACATTTTAGGGTCCAAAGTGTTTTAAGTTGTGTAAATGTGAGTTATAAAGGACTGAGGATTAAAAAGCTTAAGTGGTGATAAAAAAGAAAATTATTTAAGTCTATAAAAATCCATGTTTCAGATTTCTTTCTCTAGTCTACTGTTGTATTAAGACTCCGAAATTTCCTAGTCTTAACATTAATCAATGAAATTCTGAATCTAGCTCTGCTAAAGTATGACTACTATTATTGAAGTCAACAAGCTCAAGATTTTAATTTCCCCGTGGTTGTTCTCAAAGTCTAGATGTGATTGTGCTAAGAACATCTGTCTAATCTATATACAGCCAGTCTTTTGGAAAGAGTGCTAATGCTTTTAGCCAGAATCGTTTTTGGGTCCCCTATGACTCAACGGTGTGAGTCTGCAATATGGATTTCTACAATATAAATTTCAGTACAAACAGTAGGAATGCTTAACGTGTCTAGAACCTTTTTCTTTCTGTAATCTCGGAAAAAAATGATGTAAGCTTCAGGGGCACACTGACTGGCACTCACAGTTAGCCACCTCTCTCTGCCTCACAAGCGCTGGGACTAAAGGTGTGCACCGCCATACCCAGCTCTACATTTAATTCATCGAGGAATGAGCAAATGTTTCCCGAAGGTCTTTGCCGTTTTAGATTCCCTCCAGCAGTAAGCAAGCTTCCATCTCTCTGTATCTCCATCACCGCTCGTTATTTTCCAGTAAGAAATTATTGCCACTATTATCAGAATTTATGCTCTTATTACATTCACATCCGTCTTCTTTTAATAGCTAAAGCAAGTCATACGATTGCAGGAAGCATCAAGGCAGGTGGGCGACAAAGTCCCATCCCCCGTGAGGAGGCAGAGTGCTGGCTATGTGCGAGCAGCCTGACTGTATTAACTCCAGCCACACAGTTAATATCACGGGCGGTGACTGATACCAAAGTGACGCCTCACTTCTCCGTAACTGCGGGCGCACCAACCAGAGCGCCAGCTCTTACTTGGATACTATAAAGTCCCCAGAAGTGAATAAGCAGAAAATCGCCGAGAGGGATGCAAACGTGTACTGAAAACCATGAAAAGGGAGGGGGGAAAGCAGAAACAAATTTAAACTGTCATCTAGATGTGGGGGTATTCTTTTCTAGCCCTGGCAGTCAGAAGTCTGAGGCAGGGGGATCAAGAGTTCCTGGCTAGCCTAGGCTATGTAGCAAGACCCTGTCTCAAAAGCACAAAACATGACCAGAGGGATGATTCAGGGAATGAAATATTTGCCACAAGGGCCTAATGACCCCACCTGAAGAAGGGCCCCATGACGAAGCTGGGTATGTCGGCACACAGGCTGTAATCCCATTGCCCTATCTATGGGAGGCAGAGACAGGCATTGCCTGGAAGCTCAGAGGCCAGCCAGCCTAGACTACGATCCAGCAAAGGAAAGAAATGAGAGACCTTGAGCAAAGTAGAAGAAAGCCAAGCCTGAAAGTTGTCCTCTCACCTTTGCACGTCACACTGTGGCATGTGCACAGCACACACGCGACACACACCTGCACATGCACACACCTGTACATGCACACATTTTTTTTCTAATTGAAAACAAACATGGAACAAGTGGCTACAGCTTTACAAGTAACGTCAGCAGCTACATTTTGTTGGCGAAAGTAACTACTTAGACATTTTCTGATGAAATTACAAAGTCAACTTTAAAAATAAAGGAATAAAAGTCTTCATGGAGGGATTTTTTTTTCCTTTTTAATCAAAAGGGGACATTTCATGTCAACAAGTTTCCTATTACCCAGCAACCCTCCGCTGGAGTTCCCCCTGATGGGGCAATTGCATTTGGCAGCTGGTACAACCTTGAAACGATCTGCTTGTTTTCCTTGCTCCCTGAAGTGTGGAGTCACTGCGGATCAGAACTAATGCGGAGGCTGCTGGTTGTTTTCTGACGTGACATGGCCTGGTCGGATTGCCTGGCAATACTCCTTTGAGTCCTCTTGACCTTGACTCTGTGCACAGAGCTGGGTCATACTCGATGCACATTTCAAAGCCTAAAGATATTAGACTAAAATGCCCTCCATGGGGATGACAAGCGCTTGGCACTTTAGCCACTGTGTAATCAATAAACAAACATTCATTATTGATATGGCTTTGGAGCTCGGCTCCACCAATACTAGTTACATATTTGTAGATACTTGTTAACTTAGAACAACAATGTATTTAGCCTTTGAGGATTAAATTAGCGTGTGCACGCATATATATGACATATACATGTATATCTTTAAACAACATATATATGGCACATAGTGAACACCCCGTACGTGATGGCTTTGATGGAGTCCAGATCGTATTCTCTATGGAAAGATAACTCTCTTTTCTACTCTCTTGACTAGAGGTGCCCCTGCCACGCGCCTCTGTAATGGGCAGTTCTCCTCAGGTCTAAACAGCCTTGAAAGGGAATTGGGAGTTTTTGTTTAATGGCCTGTGTCCCCCCCCACCCCACCAGTC